GAACCCTCGACCTCCCGCACAACACAATCCAGCGCTCTAACCAATTGAGCTAACCAGGAGGCGGTGGCTAAGTGGCTAGGGCACTGGGTTTGTAATTTGGTGATAACAGGTTCAAGTCCTCCTCCCTGCTACTTGCTGGATTTGTCCCAGGTTCCCTCATCAGGTTCAACTCATTGCTGTGCTTTGCATATGGCCAAGTGGTCTGCAAAGACACACTTACATACAGAAAAAGGAGAAAAAAGTTTTATCTCACCTCAACAAAATTATGAATGGCCTCAAGATAATACAAGTTGTTATCATGCACATCCACACAAAAACAGAAGTAAAGTCCAGCATAACGACGATATACAATTTTGAAGTTGCGAAACTGCAAGAAAAAATGATGTTGTGTTGTGATTATATATATCATCTTGATTATCATTGGCTTCAGTATGCACTATTATGGAAGTTTGGTAATGTAGAGAGATAGTTTTGCCACAAATTCCCCTGAGGGTCTCTCTTTTGAATTGTTTTCCTCAATCAGTATCATTAAAGAAAGTGTATAACGATTATTTTATATTTTTAAATCATCTCAGTGTTTCACAAATTATCCTCAAGTCTCAGTCTCTCACCAGATCTAGAGTTAGTAGCTTGTTCCATTAACAGCGGGAAAGTCATTATCAGACACTAACAAACAAATAGACACACTTTTCATAACGAGCACTAAAGGGAAAATCACTCAGGTTCTCAAATTGTACCTCTACAAAGTTCGTGTGCTTTGCATCTCTTACAGTCACCAAAGCGTGAACTTCTTCAATAAGTTTCTGTTTTTCATCATCGTCAAAGTTCATATACCATTTGGCCAGTCTTGTTTTACCAGCTCTGTTTTGGATAAGAATAAATCGAATCTGCAAAAAAATTAAAATATCTTTGGGCTCATCCTTAAAGCAAGAATGAAGATGAGAAGTTTACTAACCATGATCGAGTTGCAACCCTAGCAAAGATGGCCGCCAAGTGGGTATTGATTCACCGCAAGGTGTTATGGGTTGAGAAGAGATGTCTACCCACCCACCACTCCCACCTCTTCTCTTCTCGGCTGTGATTCAGATATTTATTTCAAAGTCCCATGTTAAGTCACTTTCATCAATTATGGTCACAGGCAGCCCAAGCTCACTACTGGTAAAGCGGAGGTGACTCTTACCGAGTTGCACAACGTTTCATATTTATAAACGTTTGTATGGGATATACATTATTAAAAACTGGATCATTGGATAATGCAATTCAAGACTTTTAATTGGCTTAGCCATTATGGTATATGAGCCAATACACTATAATCTACAAATATGGTAAGCGCACGCGTTAGCTTAAGATTAAAAGGGAGCTAAAAAAAGAAGAAAATTTATATTCATTCTATCTCATTTATCACTTTCACGGGTTTATTACGAATCAACTTAACGGCCTGCTCCCAGTTGGCTTGTTCGCTCAATTGGTAGAGCGCTGCACTAGTATCGCAGAGGTCAGTGGTTCTAGTCCCGTACAGGCCTGATTTTTTTTTTCAGGTCTGATTCTCGCTATTGCATAAATAGCGCTATCTACTGCGAGGATCGTGCATCATAGGTAAACAATTTGTTATCAAACAGATGAGTAATTTGTCTCGCTTTTTGGAAAGATTTCCGTATATCCCCATACCAATCAAAAACAAAGCCGTAGTCCCAAAGGAAATCTGTTGTTTTGCCTCTGCTTTCCTTTATTTAAGAATTGAATGCATAATGAAGTATGGGGTTATACGGAAATCTTGCCCGCTTTTTTTTATTCAAATTTCCATGAATGACGAAGATTAGTGAGTCAGATGTCTTGTTCCCTTCTTTTGGATGCTGCGTTCATTGGTAAATCGCTTTCCTTCCAGGGCTGTATGACGTTTAAATTAAGGGTGGTGTCAAATCGTGCGATTACCTACAGAATTCCCCTCTTGCTGTTTGAGTGCTTACAGAGGTAGCGACATGTGGGCGAAGGGTCTGCCAGGGGTTTGGGAAGAATGTTCCCGCAAGTTTTTGCCTCAAGCTTCTCGTGGATTTGTAACTCGTTCGCGCGCCTATTACGCTTGAAGGGGCACACAAAACCATCAGCTACGGAGGCTTCTCTGAAATATTTGTCGTATTTCGCTCGTCCCCTTTTTCGATAGTCCTTGCTAATCGAAAGCATTGCACACACGAAAGTGGAGTTCAATTTGTATGGTAGATATGGTAACTTTTATCTTTTTTGAAGAACGACTCTGGCTAAAACGATTTTAAAAATCACGACCTTTCGACTGTCTGAACCGCAGTCTTCAACGTGTAAAATGTGAATAAGAAGTGGAAAAAGTTTGAATTAAAACGCGTTAAATTTTGAAATAATAAAAATGCAAATGATTATGAACGTTTGTTCAAATGAATGTTACCAGTATATGGTCCAAGTACAGGTGGTGGACAAATGGCACAAGGATTTTTTAGCTCGTGGTGCTACACTGGAGAAACGGGCAGGGCTTTCAACATCGGAAAAAAAATTCCAGAAGTGTCAAAACAATTCTTTTTTGGCCAGAGATCGGTTCTTAAAAAGATAACTTGTAAATTTTCTAAATCGTGTTTTATCCTGGCTGCCGCCCTTCAATATCTTACTTCTTGAAATGACGAAATGATAAGGTGACGAAATTTAACAGCTGTTTTGTCAAATACGGTTTACTTTTTCCTTTAGAGAAGCTGGTTAAACCCATATTTGTCGTCTTCAAAATGTGACACAAAAAATAAGAGTTAGCGATTACTCGCATCCTTTGGAAAACTCAGTTTCCCACTTCATCTTTTCTGATTTTCATAAATTAAACCCGATTACCTAAACATGTTTTACTAGTGTGACTGGGGTATTAGCCATTCTTGTTTACTACGAGCACATCGTATCGAATTGTGTAACGCTTTCAAACTTAGTGGTTCGCACTTAGCATTACGGGTAAACCCAAGACCTTTTCCAAACCGCTTTGTTCATTTTTCTGACTCAAGTTAGAGTCAAATCATATGAACTTAAGAGAAACGCGGTTGCCAAGGTTGTCTCAATCTTCGCGTTTAGAAACAATTTCTAGAATCTAGTCAAATTTAACATAAAAATCAGCTGTTTTACGGATATCTCACCCAGATAAGATCCCCAGTTTTATTTATTTATTTTTTCTTTATCCAAGTCTTTCTACAAATCTTGATAAGACTAATTACAATTCAAATTTCCTCAATTAAAAAGAAAGTAAATCAACACTCCACACATACCATTAATGATTTTGCATTTTGGCCTGACTCATTATATGCATGTTAACTGATGTTTGTGCAAACAATCAACCGATCACACAAACAAAAACCACTCAATATTGTGTTACCACTGATTGGCTAAATGTTTATCTTTATTTCAAAGGGCCGTTGAATTTGCTTTTAAATCCTCAATGAAAAATCACTCCATGTTTACAGCATAACCTTCAATATTTGTACAATACATTTATTGTGATATACTCGTACAGTGCTACCTTACTATCCTAAAATAAGTAATGGAAAAAAAACCAAGAGAGCAGTGAAGAATAGACATCGACTTACGTCAAACCTACAGTTACATTGTTTTCAAACACTTCAATGCCTATATTTTCTGTTGAGTGATTTTAGTCAAGTATACTCCCTACAACCAAGTCAGTCTAAAAAAATGCTAAACATTGCATTAGAGAGTGAGTTAATAAGTGCTTACTTTTTAATCCTTTTTAAGTTATCCACCATTAATGTCGTTGCCCATGGTATCTCTAAGGCTATAACATAGTAATAAAATTAATATGCTAACACACTTCAGTTAACATTTAAAATTCAATAAGCTGAGTAATAGTATAAATGAAATCTACAGCTGAGTATTCCTGTACTAATTTCTTGTACATCTAGTTTATTAGCTTGAAGAAATTACTGAAATGCTTGACACTCTTTTTTCAATTGATTCCTCAGTTCCTCTTCTTCTTTGAATCCTATAACATGGGAACAGAGGACCATCGATAATGGTAAGAATATACTCAGTTACCTTCAAACTATACTGCAATATTTTTTAAAGGGTCCCTTAGTTACCCTCTAAAAAAAAGTCAGTACAATTTGTTAAGTTTTCAAACTTGTTATTACAAGGTGGTTAGCAGTGTGGTGCTTTGCAGAAGTAAGAGGGCACCTTCTATACAAAATCTACCTGTTCCTCAAAAGAGTGAAAAAAATTAACCCATTAATGGCCGCAGCTTTTGTGGAAAACTGTGTTTTGAAGCTAGTCAAGCAGATTTCGGGTCACTGTTGTGGTTTTAAAAGCTCAAACTTACCAAAAACCCCTTGACAGCTCGTGCACTCGACGGCCTTTCGATCCAAATGCAAAATGGCGGCCTGAAAATCTCGGGCACGCGCAGAGAGCAAAATTTCGACATAGTTTTTGGSTTGAAAAGTCATGCCCCACTTACGACTTCTACTTTTCTCTCTTTCTCATGCCCATTTTTTCCCCTCTCCTTGCCTGAAGTTTCTCCTCACTTCCTGGAAATTGAGTGGGCTTCATTTTGGTGTAGAGATTTTTCAGAAACTACTCATTATTTTCAAAGCACATGCTCGGAAAGGTAGGTGGGTAGTGAAACACGATTTTCGTGCAGATTTTCAGGTCAAAGTGACACGGTTTTTTGGCTATTTCTCCAATCTCCTCCACTCAGTTGCGCTCATTCTGGTATCGTCTGCAAGATATTTTCAACCCGTTCAGTAGGTGCTCAAATTCGTGCTCCAGGGTTAAAAGTGATGACGTCACAAGGCGTAGAAAGGGTGTGGGTCCCCATGGGCGCATACGGGCTCACTGGACGTCAATGGGTTAAAAAAATAAAAAATATAGGAGGATGGGTTTGGGAAAAGTGTGGAGTACCTACCCAACACCCCCTAATCCACAAGAAACTCTGATGTAACAACATTCCTGCCTTATAATGAATACAAAATCCACCATGGATGATATCAGAAAAGAAATTTTCAGTGGCCAAGGATATCTCAATATATCATTCTACCGTGCAAGACACAAGCATCTCCGAGAAGCTTACCTCTTTTTGAGCAAGGATTATCAAGATCCTGCGGAAGATTTGTACAAAGTCCAAAAACAAGTCAATTGAGTGCCTTGATAAAAAAATTGATATAAACAGTTGTCCATCAGATACGTGAATTCCAAATTTGAAGCAGAACAAGGAAATGCACCATGTGGAAAATCCTTACCACACAAAGTCCTTGTCTCCTTGCTTGTGCTTATGCACAATAAGCTGAGTGTCATAGGCCACAAAGAAGCAGAACAACACAAAGCCACCATACAACTCAACCTGTGGTAAAACATGTCAGCGTTATGTCACATAGGTACTACATGGATTCCGAACTGCACTGAGACAGTAATCTTTAAAAACAATTCAATTGTAAATAGTATTTTATTTATCTGGTGCAGAGTAAAACATGTTTCACAACACTGTAACCAAAATTTCAGCCTATTTTGTTTCCCTTTGTACATGGATCATCAAAAGCAACAATTTTCAGAGATCTTGAAATCAGGATTTCAAATGACCTTCCACTCAGTTGCCTAAAAACCATGTCCATTAAGATCTAGAAAAACTTTCTCAACCAAGTCATCCAGACATACAGCATAATAAACATACCTGGAAAAGCAACCGTGCTCCAAGAAACAGGTTGGCCAGTGACAGGAAGCAGAGTATGCTCAAGCCAGACATGAGCCAACCTACAAAAAAAGATAATCAATGCACTCTACACAAAATAGGTATATACCACAGTTTCCAAGATGAAGAGCAAATACCTGTCATTTTGTAGAAAGTAGTTATTTCCAAGAAGTATTAAGAAAAATTGTTTGTTTTTATTTTTGCTGACAGTATTTAAGGCTCCAGTCCTTCTCTTTTCCCCCCATGGGTTCCTCTTTCTACATTAACTTGTTTTTGTTGGGAGTCCATTGACACTAACATTATTTTATCAAAGCAAACTGATGTTATTGTATGTGGAATGCAAAACATAAAGTAATCAAATTATTGAAGGTTTTTGTTGATTGTAACAAAAAAAGTGAAGAGGCTTGAGCAGCAATTTAAGAAGGTATTGTCCTCTCAAAAATATGTTATAGGCTGTTTGAAACAACAGTTTCATCCTTCAGAAACTTTACTGATTTCATCAGACTTCAATGACAGGTCAGAAGAGACACTCCAAAGAAAGCCTCACCTCCCAGATAGAGATAAAATCGCTCCTTTGCCCACAGAGCACTCAGAGTAAAACAGAAGAAGATCAATGTGGTGTAAAAGAAAGCTGTAGGGATGATGCTGAGAATAACAATACAAAACAAAACAAATTAAACATTACTTTTGTACTTTGTTTCATGTTCATGTCAATAATTAAGCAATAATATCAAATACACCAACAGCAATAAAATTTTAAGTAAACCACGAGGATTAAATAAATGTTGTGGGTCAAATTTTTTCTTTGGTTTGAATGTTTTTAAATTCAAATTGGTGTGAAATTTTCAAACTGGTTTAAAACTTTTAAGCACACCACTCATTCTCATTTGTATCTTTGCATGTAAAAATACTCTGTGTAAAATAAACTTGTGATATAAAGGTGTCACACATTTTAGAGGGTGTTTATTTTAGTGATTAAGGTTAAGCGTTAATTCACATGGTTAGCTTTCATGTAAAGCTATGGCCATAGTACAGTTTCAGAGACTATGGTTAAGCTCTCACTTTACTGCTTTGGGTTAAGCATTAATTTTTATTACTAATTAGGTTTAAGCACTTATTTTACTGATTAGGGTTAGGGTTAGGGCTAGGGTTAAGGATAGGGATAAAACAGATTACTACAAGTTGTACTCTATGCATTGCCACCAATGCAAAAGGCTTAGGAACTATTTTTCCTGTCAAACCAGAATAAGAGAGGCAAGGAGTAAATGCAGGGACTATTTCCACTGTGGCTATCCATTGCTGTTTGGGATGGTGGTTCATGCTTGGTAAGTCACTGTTCTCTCTTTAGAGCTTAGATCACAGATTATTACAGATGTGCAGGTTATCTTTCCTGGTTTGAAGAATGTATTGTAGCAAAACTCTTCTTTGAAATGTTTGTATGAGTCATTTTTTTTTTTTTGGCAATACATACCATTTCATTGTTGATGCAAAAATAACAGAAGTAATGCAAAAGTGATAAGGTATTGAAGTCACTCTATATATGTTAAATAAGTAATAACATTGTCATGATGACTGTCCCTAGTAACTATGCTTCAATGTTCAATTTGTGCCTCTCTATAAGCCCTTGAAAATGATATTTCTTTTTTCCATCAGCATATTTGGATGCAAGGATGCTTTTTTGTTAGATTTGTGCTTTTTCCATCCATTGATCACTTATGGATCGGTTGCTCTTATCTGTGTCATAAGCAGTACCATTAGTTTCTCGGTTCTAAGGTGCACAGTTTTTTCAGGAAAATTCTGTCCACGGGTGGAAAGTTAGTGCTGAAATTGAGATGTGCCTTGTAGCTAAGTATTCTTGCACAACAAAATCTTGAGATCACAATTTTAGAACACTAATCAAATTCCATAGAAAAGCAAACAAATGGAAAAATTTGCATATGTGCTCAACACACACTCAGTAACATGATATGTGACAACATAATCATTCAAACCTCGAAAAACTCATCAGCTCACCAGAACCCAAGACATGTTGCTAGTTGTGGCATTTTCTCACTGTGGATTCTGAAATGCCATATTCACAGGCTATTTCACAATAGCCCAATTCTGAGTTGCTGCATGTTTGGAGTCTGGTTCCAAAATTACGCCACGAGAGCAAGGTTAAGTGCATAAAAATCCAACATGGATGTTACTGAAACTCGTTTAGACAATGTAGCAGGCAAAGATTCTCGAAGTACAAGGTTCAAGGTTTGAAAAAGTACTTAAAAGTGCATGGCATTCAATTGAGTGATGGAGGTAAAGGGAAAAGGAAGGCAGAGTTGGTCGATTTGTGCAAAAAAGCGGCAGAAATGAAGCAAGCGAAGCTTGAAGATACTGTCGAAGACTACAAAAAGCTGCTCGAAGAGAAATTACAGACGGAGGATGGTAAACTGCTTGACCAGAAGACCTTAATGGCTTGGGCCAACAACTTTTCGGATATCCCAGAGTTGACGTTCGGAAATTTGTGCAGCTATCTGGTGGGAAGAGAGGAATACTCTGAGGAATACCTTCATTCTTTTAAAAGCCTCTTGGGCTATAAATATTTTTGGCACAGCAACTCGATAACTTTACATTCACCATTTAATGTTCTTTTGTAAGATTCCAGTAAAAAATATGCACTGCAAATCCTGAAGTTGTTAGGCTCACATGCCTTTGCTTTCTTAGCTTCAAGTGCAAACTTTTTGTCCACTCTACGGCAGAATTTTAACCATTTATGAAGTATCGTGTCTGACGGAAAAGCAAAATACCAAAGATCTCGACCATTATGATTACCATTTGTGCAGCAAGCAACAGAACCATAAACCATCTTATAAACAAAGCAATTAAGCGAGCATGAAATCTTCCTTAAGAGCTTTTATTTTTTGTGTCATCAAGCAGCACTTCGCACTTAGCCTCACTCTCGTGCCACAATTTCGGCACCAGGGCTCTGTCATGTGAGAACTTGGAAATGGGCTATTGTTGTTGACTGCCTCAGCTTCTGCAACAATTTTCAACTTGAAGTTGTGGTCATAAGAGCGACAGTGAGTGCTTGGCATATTTGCGATTCAACATGAAGTTGAAGTTAAACTCTGACTGTTCACGACGAGAACATATCAGTAAGTTTTGCAACTGAGTTGAAAATTTATTATTTGATTTTGTAAACAGAAGCATGTTTCCTACTTTTGGTGTGTCTTATAACTAAGTATTTTCACGTAATTTTCAGTTAGGGAACTTGGCTTGACTAAGTTGCTAAGTTTGGGTTGTGTCTTATACCCACGTACACCTTAAAACCGAGAAACTATGGTAACTGGAGCTTCAAATTCAGTTTCTCGGTCAAGTGATGATGAATGTGAAAGTTGCTCACTGTGGGGCTTTATGCCATGTGCCATGTACTGCCTCATAGGGGCTCTGCTTGATTGCACAGTGGTAGGCAATATTTCTTACATAAGCAGCTTCCATGGTAGACTGGCATCATTTGTTGGTTTCTTTATCAGTAGAAACCATTGGCACTCATGTTTCTTCTTTCCATGATTTTCTTTCCATCCCAATAAATTAAAGGCCCTTTTTCAGGCAGTTGATTGAAAACTGCTTCACAAAAATTAAACCAATTTAAAAAAAATTACCTAGTTAAAAAAAAATTGAACTTGTTTGAAAAAATTAAAGGTAAAAAGTTGATAATAATCAAGTTTTGACTTCACTGTTGTCAAAAAGAGACAAAAAAAGTAGAATAAATGGGAGGGAGAAAAAAAAAAGGAATGGAAAAGTTAAGTGCAATGTAATTGTGGCTAAACAACCCAGTTTTCCATAGTTTCCAGATCAGAACAGAAGAACAACATCAAAAGTAAGATGGAATACTAACCTTGCATCAATCTTCATCACAATATCCATAAGAGGTCCAAGACCCAAGCCTGAAACAACAAAACAGACAGACATACTTGTCTAGTTAGTAGTACTGTCAAAATAACACCATATTTGATTAATCAATTATAATTTGAAGATGAAGCAGGTCTATTTTAGAAATTATTTAAAAGTTGCTGTAGGTACTTCAGTTGAATACAATATAAACAACAAAGTATTCTAATCAGATACAATGAAATATATGAAGTTCATATATTTTGAACTGCGGTACTAGATACATATGATGCACGATCCTCGCAGTT